CATGCTGTACCCCAGCTACTCGGGAGGTCTGAGCAGGTAAGGGACGCTCTGAAGCCCAGAGTTGAGCGTTGCTGTGAGGCTAGCTGATGCCATGGCAGCTCAATCTAGCCTGGGTGGCAACTGCAGAGTGAGACTCACTGTCTCAAAAAAAAAAAAAAAAAAAAAAAAAAAAGTTTATACACATTATAGCAAGTATCAGCACTTTGGTCCTTTTTGTTGTTAAATAAATAATATTCCCTTGTATGAATATACCACCTTTTATTTATCCATTCATCAGCTGATGGACATTTGGGTTTTTTCTATATTTTTGCTATTACGAATAATGCTGCTATGAAGTCATGTAAGTTCTTATGTGAATGTATGTTCCTACTTCTCTTGGATATATACCTTCTAGGTGCAGAATTGCTGGATCATATGCTAATTCTACGTGTTACCTTTTGAACTGCCAGACTGTTTTCCAAAACAGCTGCACCATTTTACATTCTTATCAGCAGGGTATGAGGCTTCTGATCTCTCCATATTCTTACCAACACATGTTATTATCTTTTTGATTGTAACTAACCTAGTGGATGTGAAGTGGTATCTCATTGTGGTTTTGATTTGCATTTCCCTAACAACTAATGATGTTAAGCTTCTTTTTATGTGCTTGTTGGTTATTTGTATATCTTCTTTTGAAGAAATCTGTAGTCTAATCCTATGCCCATTTTTTTTTTTGTTTTTTGTTTTTTTTGAGACGGGAGTCGTCACTTGGTTGCCCAGGCTAGAGTGAGTGCCGTGGCGGTCAGTCGGCTCACAGGCAACCGTCAATCTCTGGGGCTGCGCAGCGACGCTACTGCCTCGAGCGCTCCAGAGTAGCTGGGGGACTACAGGCATGCGCCACGATGCCCGGCTAATTTTGAGTATATATATTTTAGTTGGTCAATTAATTTATTCTATGGTTTTTTTGGTAGAGTCGGGGTTCTGCGCTCAGGGCGTTTTGAACTCCTGAGCCTGAGCAATCCGCCCACCTCGGGGCCTCCCAAAGTGCGTAGGATTACAGGCATGAGCCACCACGCGCCGCGTATGCCCATTTTAAAAGAGGTTATTGGCTTTATATTGAATTGTAAGAGGTTGTATATTAGGCTGTTACAACCCTTATCAGATTTGATGATAGTCAATTCTTTTCTTTCACCTATGGGCTGTCGTGTTCACTATTTTGAGTGTGGGTTCTTGAAACACAAAATTTTTGCTAATATGGCTGAAGGCCCGAATTTATCAAGTTTCTTTGGTGCTTGTGTTCAATGTCAAGTATAAAGAAACTGTAGTTCGTAATCCCAAGTCGATGAAGAGTTATGTCTGTGTCTCTTTTCAGAGTGCATAGTTTAGGGCTGCTTATTAGTGTAGGGTTTGGTCATTGAATGAATTTTTTGTGTTATGGTGTGAGGTAGGGGTACAGAGCGAAAGCTCTCCGTGTGCTTGCATGAGATATCTGGTTGCTCAGCACCATTGTGAAAAACTGCCGTTGACCCAGTTGAATGTCGTGTACCCATAGCAACTGAACACACATGATGAGGGTTTATCTCTGGACTCTCATCTATTCCATGTGATCTCTATGTCTGTCTTATCCAATACCACACTGTCTCGATTACGTAGTTGTGAGTAAGTTTTTTAAAATTGGATCTCCAGAAATTATTCTTATGTTTCGAAGGTGTTTTGTTATTTGAGGCCCTTAAATTTCCATATGAATTTTAGGATCATCTGTGGTTAATGTTCTGTGAAGAACCAAGGTTGAATTTTTTTTTTGTTTTTTTTTTTTTGAGACAGGGAGTCTCGCTTGCGTTGCCCAGGCGTGTAGAGTGAAGTGCCCAGGCATCAGCCTAGCTCACAGCAACCAAACTCCTGAGCTCAAGCAACGCTACGCCTTCAGCTTCCCAATAGGCTGGGGATTGTACAGCATGCACCACCATTCTGGTGAATGTTTCGTATATATATTAGTGGCCAATTAATTCTTTCTGTCACGGTATAGTAGGAGACAGGGTCATTGCTCTTGCTCAGGCTGGGTTTCGAACTTCGCTGGACCGGTCGAGCAATCCAACGCCGCCTTGGCCTTCACCAGGAGTGCTAGGATACAGGCGTGAGGCCAGCCGGTGCCAGCCAAGTTGGAATTTTTGATGGGGATTGTGACTGAATCTGAAGATCAATTGGGGAGTCTGCCATCTTAACAAATTTAGTCTCAGATCCAATGAACGATGGGAGTATTTTTCCATTTATTTAGGTCATTTTTAATTCTTTCAACAATGTTTTATAGTTTCAGAGTAAAAGTTTTGTCTTTCTGTTTTTTTTTTTTTTTTTGTAGACAGAGTCTGGCTTATGGCGCCCGAGGCTATCAGGCGAAGTGGCATCATCATACATACGCAACCTCAAACTCCTGGGCTCAAGCTGATCTGCCTGCGCTTCAGCCTCCCAAAGTAGCTGGGGACTACAGGGGCAGCACTACCAAGCCTGCTAAGTTTTTCTATTTTTAGTAGAGACGGGGTCTCGCTCAGGATGGTTTCGAACTCCCAACCTCGAGCAATCCTCCCGCCTCGGCCTCCCAGAGTGCTAGGATTACAGGCGTGAGCCACCGCGCCCGGCCCCTTTGCCCATTTTTAATTGGGTTATTTATTTTTTTGCTATTGAGTCTATAGTTCTTTATATATTTTGGATATTAACTCCTTATCAGATATGTGGTTTGCAAATATTCCCTCCCATCTTAGCCTTTTTACTCTGCTGATGGTTTCCTTGCTGTCTGTGCAGAGCTTTTTATCTTGATCTAGTCCCACCTGTCTATTTTTGCTTTCCTTGTTTGTACTTTGGGTGCCACATCCAAGAAATTATTACCAAGACCAATGTTACAAAGCATTTCCCCTATGTTTTCTTCTGTGAGTTTTATAGTTTCAGGTCTTACATTTAAGCCTTTAATCCATTTTGAGTTGATTTTTGTGTATGGTGTAAGGATCTAATTTCATTTCTTTTGCATGTGGATATTCCATTTTCCCAGCACCATTTGTCATTTGGTTTTAAAGGCCTTCCTTGGCAGAATCATAATTTTTCAGTCCTTTGTTGGCTCTTTACAATTTCTTTGGAAGGGTTACTAGTCTGTGAAATCCTTTGAATCAGACTCTCATGACTTTATTATGTGACAAATTATATTTTAAAAAGTAAGATGTAATGGTCTGGTATGCACGTGGCCCTTATGAGGGTAGTGGGTCAGGCAGAAATATTCCAGAGGACCTGGCCATAGGTCCATGACCTCAAAGGCCGCATCCCGGTCTGTCTGACAGGCAGTTGGTGCCCCCTCCCCAAGCCAGCTGTGAGAACTTTGGAGTCAGGGCTGGGCACAGAGGAGGGTGCTCAGTTAACATCTGTGCAGTGCAGCCAGGAGCACTGAGGTCCAGAGAGGTGAAGCCACTGTCTGCATCACAGATCTTGTCGGACAGAGGTGGGCCCTGCCCAGGGCCTCCCAGTGGTCAGGCCAGCACTGTCTTGACTGTCCTGGTGACAGCATGTGACTCTCCATGCACTGAGCCTTCTTTCCACTGTGGCCAAGACTGGCGGAGAAAGAGCTTTTCCTTCTGAACTGGAAAACCTTGAATCTGTAGAGAAGGAGCTTGTACCATCTTAGCATCTCCCCCCAGCTGTCAACGTGGCGCCGGGCACATGGTGAGAACATGGTAAGTGTCCAGATGGAGGCGGGACCAGCGAATTTAGTAGCGAGGCGGCTCCATGTGTGCAAGAGCCAGAAGTGAGACTATTCCGACTCCGCTTCCTGCTGTGCCTCAGGTTTGCTGTACGACACTGGACAGGTCCCTTCCTATCCCCAGGCCTGGACATTCTCCTCTGTCAATGATAGTCGCAACAGCGATGATAGGTAACATGAGTGTCTCCTATATGTCTAAGCACTTTTACAGCATAAATCCATTTAACCCTCCAAGTCACCCCAAGAGAGGGATTATTAATGATCTGGTGTGCAGATGAGGAAATGAAGCCCAGGAGGGTTAAGTACTTTACCCAAGGTCACACAGCTGGTTAGAGCGGCAGCAGGGGTTCACACTCAGACAGGCTGCCCCCAGAGACCACCTTGTCACTATATGGTACTGAGCATCTAGATTTCTTTCTTTTGCTAAGAAAGGCAATGATTCTATGAGATACAGAAACTGGCAGACGTTTCAATTCTGGGCCCTTGGCAAAAATTTTCTGGTTGGGTTCTTTTAGTCTTTGTTAAATAGCAACTGTGCAGATCTCTTTCTGGAAGGAAGGCGCTGTAGGGATGGGTTTACTTGGGTGGAATTTTGGTCAAAGAGAGGGAGAAGAAAAGCAGATGTCCAAGCCTGTCTCTCTGTGTCCCTGCCTTTGCATGGCCTTGTCAGTATTCCCTGTGGCTCCACCGCGGCTGTCGTCAGTGCAGCTCCAGGCCACCTTCGGCCCCACCTCGTCATCTCTCCGGGCTGCCAATCTCACCTGCTCCGAAGCCCTCCAAGCAGCAGGGTCCACCAATAAAGACAGCAGTCACATGGCATCACGCCCCTGCCTAACACCCTCCCAGGGCTTCTCAAAGCTCTTGGAATAAAATCCAAGGTGACCCTGGCCCATCACTTTCATCTCACACCTCCCCCCTCGGTCACCGAGCTCCAGCCCCACGTGGTCCAACCGGTGGCCACCAGCCATCTGTAGCTGCTGAGCACTGGAAACGTGGCCAGTCCAATTGAGATGCGCCATCCATGTGAAATACTCATTGGATCTTGAAGCCAGAGTACAAAAAGTGGATGTAAACTATCTCATTAATACTTTTTTTTTTAAAAGACAAGGTGTCACTCTGTTGCCCAGGCTGGAATGCAGTGGTGTGATCATAGCTCATTGCAGCCTCAAACTTCTGGGCTCAAGCGATCCTCCTGCCTCAGCCTCCTTACTAGCTGGGACTACAGGCATGTGCTACCACACCTGGATAATTTTTCTATTTTTTATAGAGACAGAGTCTCCCTATGTTGCCCAGGTTGGTCTTCAACTTGTGGCCTCAAGCAGTCCTCCTGCCTCGGCCTCCCAAAGTGCTAGTATTACAGACATGAGCCATTATGCCTGACCTCGTTAATATTGACTACATGTTGAAAATATTTTAGATATATTGGGTTACATAAGATATGTCATTAAAATTAGTTTCACTTTTTTAAAACAACTTTTTTTATTGTGGCTGCCAGAAAATTAAAAATTCCCTATGTGGCTTACACTAATAACTTCCATTGTCCCCCTTGGACAGAGTGGCCTTAGCCACCCTTGCTTCCGTTTGGTTCCTGGATAGCACCTCGCTCTTCCCAGCCTAGAGCAAGGCTTTATGCCCCTCCCTCTTCCCACAGCTTCTCACCACCCTGTGTCAGTGCCCCTGCGGCTGGGCCTCTGTAGCACCATGGCCAGAGCACTCTTACTTCTCCCGTCGCACAGCGGGGACACCAAGCGCAGGCTCTCAGCTCTGCACCTGGCTCCGACTGTCAAAGAAGGGCTTTGGGCCTTGGGGTCCTGGCAACCTGCTATGTCAGTAGAACCAGGGATGTGAAGCCCGGCCCAGGCTTCATCAGGAGAACTTATTTGGCAGTCGGGGTCAGGACCAGGTACCCAGAGCTGCCAAGTACCAGGCCCTGGGCATGGCCAGGGTGGACTTGGGCTTTGCTGGGGCAGCTCCAGGGTCCATCTTGGCCCTGCTGCTCACTAGCGCAGTGGCCTTGGTTAGTCACTCAGCTCTGTTCTAAATGAGGATCGACTCCCTGCCTAGGGCCATGGAGGACCAGAGTGAGGGCTGTGTGTGCAGCACCAGTGGGGTGTAGTGCGGGGACCCACAGGTGTCCCTGTGACCAGCGCCCCCTCCCCGCTGTCAGCCACACCTGCAGGACCACTGGCAGTGATGTGATGGGTAACGGTATGTAGCCTCGGTTCCTGAGCGAGGAGGGGGCCCCTTGCTGTGGGAAGATTGCCAAGTCATCACCTCGCTCCCTCTTTTCACTCTGAGGACCCCGACTTTGGCAGGATCTGGGGGAGGGGAGAGACCACCATTTCTGTGGAAAAGGCCTATGGGTTTGGATCAACCACAAGCTCACAGTGAGCCAAAGGGTGACTCAATTGCTAAAATAGCCAAGGAGGAAGGCAGGAGCTTCCAGGACCCAAAGCAGGGGGCGGCTGGGGTCAGGGCTAGAAGGAAGCAAGGGCACCGTTCTTGGAACTCACCTGACTCCACGGCTGGCTCTGGTGATCAAAAAGCCTCTTTCCTGGAACCTGCGTTGGGGCCAGGCCTGGAGACCACCAGGGGTCGGGGAGAGGAGGAGATGGGGCAAAAGGAGGCGCTATCGTGAGGAGTGGGATCTCTCCTGGAGCGCGGAGGCCCGGTTCTCACTGCCCGTCCTCCAAACACTGCTTTGGGGTGAGCTCAGTTGGCTTCCCTAAGACACAGGCCAGCGCTCGTCCAGCCTGCACCTCCCAGGTTAGAAGAAACCCCGAGCGTGAGGGTCGGAGGGGCCAGGGAGACCAGGGGGGCCGGGCACCCCATGCCCACGTGGGTTGGCTGACAGCCTGCCGCGCCAGGAGGCCAGCTCTCCCCGGCCCTCCCGGCCCTCCCGCCACACAGTTCCTAAAGAAAAGCAAGGAACAAAGACAACAGCTTCTTCCCTGCAGTAGATAACAAGTGTTCTGATTCCCAGCCCTTGACAGGTTCACCTCCCAGTGTCCCCAGCCCGGGAATTCACGGCCTCAAGTGACCCTCCGGAGGGCCAGGGCAGGGCCTGGATTCTGTGAGGGCAGTGTCCCCTTGCTGCTGCGTCCTGCGGCCTCCACATGGGCAGAGGGCACTGGTGAATCCTGCGACCCTGGCCCTGGGCCTCCTGTGGCCCGGCTGGGCTGGCCAGCAAGGGCCTTTTTGTTTTATGTCTAATTGTAAAAAGCAATTCATAGTCATTGTAAAATTTGGGAACTATAAGAAAGGTAGAAAGGAGAAAATGAAAATCGTCTGTCATCCCGCTGCCCAGAGAACTGTGGTTGCTATTTTGTTATATTTTTCTCCAGCTCTATTTTTCTATACAGATCATACATATGTATATTTGTGTGCATTTTAATTGTAAGCATACTCCACAGCTGGCTTTGCCCACATTGCGTTATATTGTGAAGATTTTCTCATAGCAGTACCATTTTCTTTAAAGTTATTTAATGACTCTAAAATATTCTATTAATAATTTATTTAGCCATTCTCCTATTTTTTTTTTGTTATGGTTGTTCATTTTCCTATTTTGACTTTCGTTTTTATCAAGGGAATTAAGCAGTTTTAAAAATTGCACTTAAAAATATAAATCCAGCTGTTCTTTCTGACTGCCCAGATGGAGCAGTTCTGGGCTGTCCTGCCTGCCGTTCACACTGAGAGCCCCTCAGTGTAACATCCCAGAGTGCCTGCAAAGGATTAGCAGGTAGAAAAACCAAAAAATAAAGAGTACAACCTCCCCACCTCCAGGGAAGCCCAGGGAAAGGGTTCCCGAGGACTGAGTGCCGTCCCACGCCACCCACCGGTCTGGACCTGCCCGTCCTGCTGGGGCACAGCTGGTGGTGGAAAGGGCCGGCAGCCCTCAGCTCAGATTCTGCCCATGCCACAGGTTGACAGCGCGCTCTTGGACAAGCTTTTCCCAGCTCAGGCGCTCCATTTCCTAGGCCTTGTGCTGACACTGGCCTCCCAAGGTGGCCAGGATGGAATGAGAAGACGCTGCCTCCAGGTCAGCACTGCTCTCTGTTCGCCCAGGGCCTTGAGCGAGCACCTCCCCACTGTTAGAGCTGTGGAGCCCTCCTGCCTCTGAGATTCTCTGTGTTCCCAGCCCCAGGAGTCTGCGGCTGCATCCCGAATGGGTGACCTAGCTGACCTTGCGGTTGTCCAGACCAGCCCTTTTGATAGCTCAGGCATCCCCTGGCCCCTGATTCAGTCCCCAGGGAAGGTACTAATCAGGTTTCCCTGCCCTTCCCGGATCCCTGTTCAGCTGCCCGGAACCAGGCCTGAGGATGACTCATGGAGACCCCTGGGTTTGCTGCTCCTCTCAGTCCTCCCAGAAAATTTCTGCCTTATGTTCAGGGCTCAGGGTTTCTGGAGGGCCGGGGCTGGACACCACTAGGTCACGCCCTTCAGGAGGGCAGGGGTCTTGAGCTTCTCATTCACTTAGTGTCCTCAGTGCCCAGCACTGAGCCTGGCCTATGGTAGACCCTCAGTAAATACTAGCAGACCAAGGCCAGTGGTGATAGCCACCTGCCTCAGTTTCCCTTTCCGTTCTGCCCTGCTATACCACGAGCTCTGTGAGTGCAGAGATGGGCCCAGTTCACATCTGAACCCTCCCTGCCCAGCAAAGAGACTGGCACGTGGAGAGGGCCCACTATTGTTTAAATGTGTGGGGAGCAGGTGGCTTGGTGAGCATGTCGTGTCCTGTGAGGGTCAGGTCTCTCCTCTCCTGCCCAACACCCCATATTGTTCCTTCCTCTTTCCCTCCTTCTTGGTATAAACTGGCCACCAGGAAACTCGGAGGCTTCCTGGCTGTGTGACTTGGGACAAGTGACTTGACTTCTCTGAGTCTCCATTGTCTTTTCTGTAGAATTAGGCTGATTGACCGATTGCAAGGATGATGTGCGGCTCAGTGCTGGATGGCCGACCATGGTCAGTGCCTGGCAGGTGGTGGGGACTGGGCAAGAAGCAGCCCCTCTTGTTGGCAGTGGCTGGCCCTCTGTCCACAGTGTAAGCTCCCCAGCTGAGCTGGCTGACCCACTGACCAATGGAGGGGCGTGGGGTGATTTTGGGCTGGGGCTGGCTGAGGAGGCAGCTAAAGGTTATGGATCCCCTGAGGCCCTGGTCACTGTCGCTGGCACCTTGCCCTTGGCTCTGTCATCTGGTGTCCTTTCTCCTGCTGGGAAGGGCACACGCTGTAGCTGGGGCTCGGCTGGGAAACAGGCCCAGCTCCTCTGGAGGGCTGCTCTCTGCCTCCATGCAGTGCAAAGGGCGCTGCAGGGAGCTGGAGGCCTTCCCGCCAGGCCCCGGTGCAAGGCAGGAACAGCACCCTGTGACGGAGGCTCTCGTGCCCTCTCCCCCTGCCACTCAGCAAGAGGCTCAGTGGCACTGTGGCCTACCTTGTCTGCTCACACAGTGTCAGAGGCAACAAAATGCCCGCAGCACAGCAAAAAGCAGTAGCGTCTCTTCTGGCTGTAAAAGTAATTCTTGTCCAGTGCAGTAAAAAAAATGGGAAAAATCAGTAAAATATAAATTAAGTACCCCAAATCTCAAACTTCCAGGTGTTTTTGTGCATATATAGATTTTTTTTTTGTTTGTTTGGTTTTTTTTTTGAGACAGAGTCTCACTTTGTTGCCCAGGCTAGAGTGAGTGCCATGGCGTCAGCCTGGCTCACAGCAACCTCAATCTCCAGGGCTCAGCGATCCTACTGCCTCAGCCTCCTGAGTAGCTGGGACTACAGGCATGCGCCACCATGCTCGGCTAATTTTTTGTATATATATTTTTAGTTGGTCAATTAATTTATTTCTATTTTTGGTAGAGACGGGGTCTCGCTCAGGCTGGTTTTGAACTCCTGACCTTGAGCAATCCGCCCACCTCGGCCTCCCAAAGTGCTAGGATTACAGGCATGAGCCACCACGCCCGCTATGCCCATTTTAAAATGAGGTTATTTGTCTTTTATTATTGAATTGTAAGAGTTTGTATATAGTCTGGTTACAATCCCTTATCAGATTTATGATAGTCAATTCTTTTCTTTCATCCTACGGGCTGTCTTTTCACTATTTTGATGGTGTTCTTTGAAACACAAAATTTTTTAATATTGCTGAAGCCCAATTTATCAATTTTTTCTTTTGTTGCTTGTGTTTCAATGTCATATTTAAGAAACTATTGCCTAATCCAAGGTCATGAAGAGTTATGTCTGTGTTCTCTTTTCAGAGTTCTATAGTTTTAGGCTCTTATATGTAGGTGTTTGGTTCATTTTGAATTAATTTTTGTGTATGGTGTGAGGTAGGGGTACAAGCAAAGCTCTTCCTTTTGCATGTAGATATCTGGTTGTCTCAGCACCATTTGTTGAAAAACTGTCCTTGACCCATTGAATTGTCTTGGTACCCTTGCAACTGAACACACATATGAGGGTTTATCTCTGGACTCTCATTCTATTCCATTGATCTCTATGTCTGTCCTTATGCCAATACCACACTGTCTCGATTACTGTAGGTTTGTAGTAATTTTTAAAATTGGATCTTCCAACATTATTCTTATTTTTCAAGGTTGTTTTGGTTATTTTGAGTCCCTTAAATTTCCATATGAATTTTAGGATCAGCTTGTTAATTTCTGTGAAGAACCAAGTTGGAATTTTTTTTTTTTTTTTTTTTGAGACAGAGTCTCGCTTTGTTGCCCAGGCTAGAGTGAGTGCCATGGCATCAGCCTAGCTCACAGCAACCTCAAACTCCTGAGCTCAAGCAATCCTACTGCCTCAGCTTCCCAAATAGCTGGGATTACAGGCATGCACCACCATGCCTGGCTAATTTTTTCTATATATATTAGTTGGCCAATTAATTCTTTCTATTTATAGTAGAGACAGGGTCTTGCTCTTGCTCAGGCTGGTTTCGAACTCCTGACCTCGAGCAATCCACCCGCCTTGGCCTCCCAGAGTGCTAGGATTACAGGCGTGAGCCACCGTGCCCAGCCAAGTTGGAATTTTTGATGGGGATTGTGCTGAATCTGAAGATCAATTTGGGGAGTCTTGCCATCTTAACAATATTAGGTCTTCAGATCCATGAACATGGGATATTTTTCCATTTATTCAGGTCATTTTTAATTTCTTTCAATAATGTTTTATAGTTTTCAGAGTAAAAGTTTTGTTTTTTTTTTTTTTTTTTTTTTTTAGACAGAGTCTGGCTCTGTTGCCCCAGCTATAGTGCAGTGGCATCATCATACATTACTGCAACCTCAAACTCCTGGGCTCAACTGATCTGCCTGCTTCAGCCTCCCAAGTAGCTAGGACTACAGGCATGCACTACCAAGCCTGGCTAATTTTTTCTATTTTTAGTAGAGATGGGGTCTTGCTCTTGCTCAGGCTAGTCTTGAACTCCCAACCTCAAGCAATCCTCCCACCTCAGACTCCCAGACTGCTAGGATTACAGGTGTGAGCCACCATCCCTGGCTTTGTACTTATTTTGTTGAATGTATTCCTAAGCATTTTATTCTCTTTGATGCTAGTGCAAATGAAATTATTTTCTTAATTACATTTTCAAGGTTTTGGTATTGTTTTTTTTTTTTTTTTTGAGATGAGGTCTCACTGTGTCACCCAGACTGGACTGCAGTGGCATCATCATAACTCACTATAACCTCGAACTCCTAAGTTCAAGTGATCTTCCTGCCTCAGCCTCCCAAGTAGCTGGGACTACAGGTGTGTGCCACCATGTCTAGCTAATTAAAAAAATTTTTTTGTAGAGATGGGGTCTCACTTTATTGCCCAGGCTGATCTCAAACTCTTGGCCTCAAGCAATCCTCCTGCCTCAGCTTCCCAAAGCGCTGGGATTACAGGTATGAGCCACTGCACTCAGCCCTTAATTACATTTTTGAAGTGTTCATTGCAAGTGTGTGGAAACCCAATTGATTTTTGTATATTGATCTTGTATCCTGTAACTTTGCCAAAGTCATTTATTAGTCCTAATGTTTTTTAGTGGATTTTCTATGTACAAGATCATGTCATATGCAAACAGAGATAGTGTTACTTCTTCCTTTGCAATCTGAATGAGTTTTTGCTCTCTTGCCCGATTACCCTGGCTGGAACCTCCAGCACAACGTTGCATAGAAGTGACGAGAGTGGACATCCTTGTCTTGCTCCTGATCTCGGGGGAAAGCACCCAGTCTTCTCCCACTGAGCATAATACTGGCTACAGGAAGGCTCTTCCTAGCGCTTACTGAAAGACTGGCTGGTCTCTATCTTCACTTCCAGCAGTGCGCCAGAGGGAGGCCTAGCCCCTGTCCCTTGCCAACATAATAACCCACGTTTTAGAGGTGAAAGACCCAAGCCTGGGAGGGCAAATGCTGCGTGCCTCGTCACACAGATGCTGCGCGGCCTATAGTCCAGCTGTCCACATCCACTGGGGAGTGAGCCTCTGGACACTCGGCCTCCCTTCCCCTGGTGTGGGATGCCTTGAGACACACTAAGAAAAGCCCCTGGTGCACAGGAAATTCCGGGTTCTGTTCTTGGCTCAGCCACTGACTGAGCCCACTGTGACCATGGGCAAGTCAATTTCCCCCTCTGGGCCTCAGCTTTCCCATCTGTGTCGTGGAAAGAGTGGTCCACTCTGGAGTCTTCTGGCTCTGACCATCCCCCGCCCTCCCTACCCACCCTTAAACACACAGCGATTTCAGCTTCCACCAGCACCCAGAATAGCCACCAGAGGGCGCCCCAGACCAGCATTTGGCCTAGCTCAGGTGCAAGGGGCCCTGGGGCCGCCAAGGCAGCATGTATTTTCCAGGAGCCGCCTGCTTTGCTCACGCAGACTGCCTTGTGGCTCAACCTGCCCAGCCCTCTGCCCCATTCTTCTGGCTGAGCCCTGATCTCCAAGGAGGGAGGAATGGAGGCACAACCCTCCAGGCCAGCGACCTAGCACTTGTCCCTGCTTGCTTTGGATTGGCTGCCTAAGGCTCAGGCTTCCCAGTGTCAGAGCCAACAGCCTCGAGTTTCTCAGCCTCAGGTTTCTGCCATCTCTGGGCCTCTTACTGGTGCCACATCCTTGCATCCTTTCCCCACCAAATTGCCCGGCAGGAAGTCCCCAGCCACAGTGGGTGCCTGGCCACCTGTTAGGGGGACATGGCAGCCCTTTGTGGACAAGGGTGCACTCATGCTGGGCGTCCCGGACAGGGATGTCCGTGAAACCACAGCCTCTGGGACACCTCAAGCGACAGATCCCAGGACCACAGAAGCAGCATCACGGATGTCAGGGACCACCAGGAACTTCCTAAAGCACCCAGCACCCCCACCACATGACCCCCCAATGCTGATTTAACCCTTCAAATAAAATCAGGACCTTTGCTTTGCAAATGGAGCTCAAAGACAAAGCAGCATCTCTTCACATCCCAGGAGTCTTCACCAGCCCCTGTGTGGAGGGGTGCTGCCCCTCACCTTTGATGCCCGGCTCATTCGCTTTGCATTCTAGCTATTTCTGTGTGTGTTTTCTGTTTTCAGACTGGGGTCCCCTTGAAGGGCAGGCTGAGTCTCAAATTCATTTCTGTCCCCTCCATGGTGGCTAGTTCAGGACTCTATCTAGTAGAAGCTCAACAATGTCAACATGGGAATCTAAACCCCACTCTCCCCTCCCACTCAAGGGATCCAGGGCTCTTTGCCCCTTCTGTGGCTGTGTGACTTTGGGCAAGTCACTTAGCCTCTCTAATCCTTTCCCCAGAGCGCCAGGCTGCAGCCACCTCATGCACGGGGGTAAGATGTAGGGAGTGCTGGGTGCCAGGCCACAGCCCTGAGTCCCCCAGACCTTGGGCTGCTACTCAAGTCAGACAAGACACTTCTCTGCCTGATCCCCTCAGGGACCCTTCGAGCCAGGCAGCATTACCGTCTCCAGCCTTACAGGCAGGGAAACCAAGGCACGAAACAATTAGCTCTCTGGCCCGAGGTCACGCAGTCGACAAATGGTGGTGCTGGCCTCTGGAGCCTGTGCTCTTGGCCCCTAAGCCACACCCGTCTTGAACTGCTGTGGGGCAGCGTTGGGGACTTTCTGTCCACCTCACAGGAATCATCAAGCGTCAGAGATCATTTGCTCAATTGTCGCTTTTCAAGACTGGAATACTGAGCCCAGAGAGCACGCTGGCTCTCCCCCTCTGTCACACACACCAGGGCTGACACCAGGTTTGGCCAGGGAATTTGAATAATATTTAAAGCCCCTGCGAGTCTCAGAGTCTAAGACTCTATATGTCGTCTTGGGGGCCTTGTTCCTAACTGCCAATGTCGTCTTGGCTGTGGGCACGGGAAGGCCTACCTCGCAGGCTCTGCCCACCCCCAGCCCAGGCTGGTCACCGCCAAGCCCCGCCTCCCCCACACCCGCCTGGGGCCTTTATCAGGAAAGGATTTGGGTTGGTGGGGAGGGTGGGGGAAGTGGGAGGCCCCAGGCTCAGGCAAGGTGGGTGGGAGAGATAGGGAAGTGGGGAGGGGGCCTGGGAGGATGGGAGGGATGCCCAGAACCAGCTCAGTGGGGGCTTTGGTCAAGCACTGTCCTCGTTGGCCTGGCCCCTGCCAAGGCTCTGGCCTCTCCTGCCTTCCATCCTTGCCAGGCAAGATGCCGGCACCTTTAATTAGCAAGCAGCAGCCTCTCCCCGATTCATCACAGTCACTGTTTAATTAGCCGAGCACAGGCGCCCCCACCCCCCAGCTCTCGCTTGAGCTGCCTGCCTCTCTCACCCAGGCTGCCACCACCTCACAGTGTCCCCTGTCACCCCCGTACTTAGTCTGCTCCCCAGAATGGGGGTGGAGGCAGGCACGCCCCACTGAAACCTCAAGGAGATCTGGGCACCGGTGCTTGTATTCAAGGCATCCAGCAAACATTATTAGGCCTTGAGTCTGCGCCAGGCTGGCGCTGGGTGGAACCCGGGCTGCACGGGGCAGCAGGCTCTGGTCCTGTCCTCCCGCAAAATGGCTTTTCCCTTTGGGAGGTGCTGGGACAGCTCTCTGGCCTGGCCCTGGGGTGTTGGGAAAAGGCTGTAATAACCCTCCATGTGGCTCCCACCCCACATCTGAAATGGGACATCATTTCTTCCTCTTCCTCCCTGTGCCAGAGCCCAGAGCTCCCCCAGAAGGCTGCACCTCAAGAGAGGGGCCCATCCTCTGCCCCCTGCCTTCCAGGGGCCAGATCCTGGGGGTGCAGTCCAGACCATGGCCAAGGGACATGATGAGAGGGCTCAGGCCCTGTCTGCAGGCGCTGTGCAGTGGGGTCCCAGGAGTGAGCCCACAATCTGGGCTGAACCAGCTGCCTCTGTCTCCCAGAAGAAGGGCGGGACTGGGGAGGGAGCCTCCACTGCCCTTCCCGGCAGGGCCAAGGGGCCTAGGCTCCACCCAGCCCTGCACGCCCTGGGCACCGAGTGGCTCCAGGCAGGTCACATGACTCTGGGGCCTCCGCATTCTGGGCGCAGAAGGGTGTGACCCTTGGCCTCTGGGGCAGTCAGCATGTCATATGGGGGCAAGGGGTGCATAGAGCCCATCCACTCTGGCACGTCTGTGTGGCCCTCAGGACAGGTACTGAACTGCAGTGTGCCTCGGTTTCCCTACCATGAGTAGCTGCCTCAGGGGTCATCGTGAGGACTAAATGGCTTACGAGGTTTAAAGCACTTAGAGCGGTGCCTGGCAGAGGGAGTCCTCAGTAACCATTAGCTACTGTTGCCATCATTTTCCCTCCTTTTATGCAAGTGCTGTTTCTTGCCGGGATGAGGCAGCGGATGGTGGGTGAGAGAGACGACCTCCCTGCTCTTCACTCGTGCCTACCTTCCAGTGGGGCAGGAAGCTGAAAACGAGTAACTAAATCAAGGAAAAATACCATTTCGTCCCACAAAGCCCACAGTCTAATTAATGGTAACATACCAATGTTAATTTCTCGGTTTTGAGGAATGTACCACAGTTAGAAAATAGGTCGACATTAGAAAAAACTGGATGAAGCATCAACAGGAGCTCTCCGTACTATCGTTGCAACTTTTCCGTTGCAAAATAATTTCTAAAATTATTCCCTAAAAAAAGTTTATCGTACAAAAGGACGATTTCAGGCAATGGTAAATACTGTGAAGAAAATAAGCAGGAGCAAGAGAGAAAATGGGGATTGAGGGCCATTTTAGACGGGGAGGGCTGGGAGGGCCTCCCGGAGGAGGCAACCAGGAGCTGCCCCTGAGTGAAGGGAGGGGCCTGGCGGGAGGAGGGAAGGACAAGTGCAAAGGGCTTGGGATGCCGGAGGTGCCCTGGAAGGGAAGGGCAGGGCAGCAGTGAGGCCGGAAGCAGCAGTCAGCTCACCTGGCCTGCGTTAGGTGCCACCAAGCACAGGGAGAAGTACGTGGTGGACAGGACCCCCTCTGAGCCTGGAGGGTGGGGGAAGGTGGGCGCCCCCTGCTGTGGGGCAGGGCTGGGCAGAGAAGCTGGAAGGAGCTGGAGTGCACCAGGGCCCTGTACCCAGACAGTGCTGCCTGACCCTAACCCTAACCCAACCAGTGGCCTCCCCATGTGGGCATTTTGCCCTTTCAGAGGACAAGAGGGAGGAGGGAGACCGGGTGTGTAGGTGGCGTGTCTCGCACTTTGCAGCATGAGCTCTGCGCTTTAGTGCTGACAGTCGCCCCGGGAGGCACTGGCATCTGCACTTCCAGGGGGACAGTGGAGGGCGGAGATCGCCCCTGGAGTGTCACGTGAGTGACTGAGTGGGCCTGCCTGGAAGGAGAGGCCCTCCTGGCCCTGGAGGTGCGCTGGGTCTTGCTGGGAAGCCTGGACTGGGTGTGGCTGGAGAAGGGAGGGCCAGGCAGGCCCAGGGCTGGCCTGGCCCCCGCCCACACGAGACCATGTGTCAAGCCAAAGAGCAGCTCTGCGCACTAACTGTGTAATCAGCTTTGGTAATAGTAATAATACACGCGTGTAATAGGACATTCTGAAGGTTCCAAACAACAAATGGGGACAAGTTAGGGTCTCCTACCTTTTCCTGCCCTCAGTCCAGTTTCCTTCTCCTGTGATGGCCTCTGGGACCTGTGTCTTGTGCTTCCTTCTAGAGCCAGTCTAGACAGCCCCACCTCGACCATGACAACAGCACACGGTCGCCTGGGCCTGCCGGGCACCTCCTGCCAGGAAGCCGAGTTGCACACGTAGCTCTCACGCCAGTCTTGTGTGTATATTAAGCACTCTGTTCTAAATCAGAGTGAACATGGCCAGGCACGGTGGCTCACGCCTGCAATCCTAGCACTCTGGGAGGCCGAGGCAGGCGGATTGCTCCAGGTCAGGAGTTCGAAACCAGCCTGAGCAAGAGTGAGACCCCGTCTCTACTATAAATAGAAAAGAAATTAATTGGCCAACTAATACATATAGAAAAAATTAGTCGGGCATGGTGGTGCATGCCTGTAGTCCCAGCTACTTGGGAGGCTGAGGCAGGAGGATCGCTTGAACCCAGGAGTTTGAGGTTGCTGTGAGCCAGGCTGACGCCACGGCACTCACTCTAGCCTGGGCAACAAAGTGAGACTCTGTCTCAAATAAATAAATAAATCAGAGTGAACAGAGGCACAGACAGGTTAAGTCACTTACTGAAAGCCACACAGCTAACACAGAATATGAATTCAGGGACTCTTCAAAGGCGTTGTGTAGATGGGGACACTGAGGCT